AGATTCTTGCGACTGTTTTTCACCATCTTCCAAGACTATAACTCCACCATACTCTTTTGTACAAGATTGGTATGATCAGGAATAGCTGGCCTTCTCCATACTCTATAAAACCAGTAAGCTTTTCTATTGCGGACAACAAGGGAGGTAGTTGGATCATATTGAACTCTTCGATCTAACGCCCCAAAACTTACAACGATACAGTTCTTTTCCATTGATACACAATTCTATTCTTGTAGGCACGTGTGGTTGATGATCAAACTCAATTCTTTTCCAGTTTCTAGTAAAAAGACCCAATGCTCCGAGTTTATCCTCTTGAACTATTCTGAGCATATCACTTAACAGTGCAAACTACTTTGTATTGATCAAGAACAAGATCGTGTCCAAGAAAGCGGAGGACAAACTTACGAATTTTTCTTGAGCAAAGATACGCTTTGTCTGGTTGTGGGATTATAGGTACACGCCTTTTTGCAAACAATGTACAAAATCAAGCCGCAAAGAACAACCATGTTAACTAAGTAGTAAAAAAGCTCAGGGGAAAGAGTAAACTCTTCCAACTCGAGTTCGATTTCTTCTTAGAACACTTTTGGCTCCATTTGGTCAGTCAAAATGGTGCCACGTTTTAGGCCTATTAGAAAACCCGGTGGGTGGACTACTCGACGACTACATTTATCATGCGGAATTAGTCGGGTGGTAAAAACTCGAATCCTGGTTATCCAGAAAAAAAAAGAGAACCATGTTGTGTCCTCCCATACTTGGCAAAATCAAATCTTGGTCGAGATAGCACTATTACATGGTGATAGTGATAGCAGTAAAGACTCACCGGGCTTGTGGCAGACCTCCTTTAATTTGAACCACACTCGAAGTGGTTTAGTTCATAGGATAATATTTACAATTCTGAACGTCTTTTTATGTGTATAATGTTCAGAGTATTTTCTATGAACTACACTCGAAGTACTTTGTTTTCAATACAAAGCACTTTAGTTATGAATTTATAAGTACTAGTTATGAATTACATGACAATGTTGAGATTATATAACAAACACTTTAGCTAAACATATTTATTGTTTTCAATACAATTAAAGTACTTTAATTAGTTATGAATTTAAAGTTTTTTTGGTTATGTCTTCGTAAATATAAAGTTTATTTTGAGACAAATTTAAGGAAATTTATACAAGTCGTATAAATTAAAGTTGGTATAATTAGATTTGAGAAATTATGTAAGCACTTTATATCCCCATTTCTATTTCGAGAGAAATAAAATATTACTATTTGGATTCTTTAGATCTTGTGGTGTGTCTGACAAGTGGAAGTATGTGTATACTAGTTAACGGATGATGGAAGATGGAACGAGTTTAACAAGATAAAGTTGGTGTATATTGGATGTAAATCCACTAAAGATAATGTTTAAATATCGAATTCAAGTTTTTAAAAAAATGTAACAAATCAATTCAGTTTTTCTTTGATTACTGGTTTTCCTAAACGAAAACAAAAAAAAAGTAAATCGAAACATACAACTCATATTTTCGAGAGAATTAAACAACTTTATTGATTCATTTTAACAAAAAAAAAACTTTATTGATTCATTGAATTTTCTTTGAGAAAAAGCACACACAAATCGCAGAGTGCCTTGCGTTGCAAGGTAACAGTTGTTTGACCTAATAGTTACCTTTACCGTATGCTTCGGTACACACAGCTTTAACGAGTAATCTAGTGAAGGGTGTTCCGGGGAAAACAACCGGAAAACAACCCTCGGCGAGGCCATTCACGACGTGGCAACAATCCTTAGTCAAACCTTTAATGTCTCCGCCGAAGGCAGCTTTCACGGCATTGAAACAACCTTTAACGCTCAGTATCGACCTCAAGCAATTATCATTGGGACTTACCTTGGTCTCCTGAGCTTCGGATCGATGACGACAAACCAAAGCCATGATCACACATATAAACAAGAACAACACTTTGATCAGTTTCCTTTCCATTTCTTGGTTTTGTTAGATCGTGCTGAGATCTTGTTTTTGTGTATGGTGATTTGGACTATATATGGGAATTTTTGTGAGTGGTTTAATTAATTTTGTACTAGTTCTGAATACATGACAATGTTGAGATTATATAACAAACAGTTTAGCTAAACACATTTATTAATTTGTCCCAATAAAAAAAAAACCTAAACATATTTATTAATTTCAATACCAAATACTTTAGTTATGAATTTAAAGTATTAATTTTTACTAGTTATGAAGATAAGACAATGTTGAGATTGTATAAAAAAACACCTTAGCTAAACATATTTATTATTTTCAGAACAAAATACTTTAGTTAATAATGAATTTACAAGTATCTTTTTTGTTAACATTAGTGTAAAGTTTTTTGGTTTTGTCTTCATAAATTTAAACTCTCTTGTGAGAAAAAATTAGAGAAATTTATAGAAGTAGTATTGACTTTCATGAAAATAAACATTATGGTGTGGTATAATTAGATCTGAGAAATTTTGTAAATCTTTTAGAGAAATTTAAAAAATGCAACTTTTCAAAAATACCACATTTTCAAAAATTTTGCAAAAATGCCACTTTTCAAAATTATTTATTCATTATATCATTAATGTTTGATTTAATTATGTTGTATTATGGTTTAGTTTTGAGGTTTAGAGGGTTTTAGGGGTCAAAACATTT